CGGTCAATCCTTCTCCTCCTCTTCTTCTGCGAGGGGACAGAGGTGACAAGGGTGACAAAGGTGACAGAGGTGACAGAGGTGACAGAGGTGACACAGGTGACAAAGGTGACACAGGTGACAAAGGTGACAGAGGTGACAAAGGTGACACAGGTGACAGAGGTGACAAAGGTGACACAGGTGACACAGGTGACAGAGGTGACAAAGGAAGGTGACAAAGGTGACAGAGGTGACACAGGTGACAGAGGTGACAAAGGAAGGTGACAAAGGTGACAGAGGTGACACAGGTGACACAGAGGTGACAGAGGTGACAAAGGAAGGTGACAGAGGTGACAGAGGTGACAGAGGTGACACAGGTGACAAAGGTGACACAGGTGACAAAGGTGACAAAGGTGACAAAGGTGACAAAGGTGACAAAGGAAGGTGACAAAGATGACAAAGGTGACAAAGGTGACAAAGGAAGGTGACAAAGGTGACAGAGGTGACAAAGGTGACGAAGGTGACAAAGGTGACGAAGGTGACAAAGGTGACAAAGGTGACAAAGGAAGGTGACACAGGTGACAGAGGTGACAAAGGAAGGTGACACAGGTGACAAAGGTGACAAAGGAAGGTGACACAGGTGACAAAGGAAGGTGACAAAGGCCATCAGTCCTGACCCCACACCCTCCGGGATGGGTCCCTGCAGTACTCACGGGCTGGGGTTTCTCCACCACGCAGCAGCCCAGCTTGTGCCAGAAGTCACTCATGGTGGCCGTGTGGCACCGAGTCCCCCCGTGTGGCACCGAGTCCCCCGTGCTGGCACGGCTGGGGTCACTCCATGGGGACAACGGGGACACCTGCTCAGGGTGGCACAGCACAGAGAGCAGCAGCTGCCTGTGGATGGGAAGGGAGGGTGATGYTTTCAGGCCTGACCTCCCCAAATTAGAGCCAAACTTCCCATCAAGCAGAGCCAGAGATGCCCAGGAGACCCCTGGAGTCACACACAGAGCACCCAAGGGGACCCCGACATCACAAAGAGACCCTCGGGGAACCCCTGGGATCACACAGAGACCCCCAGGATCAGACAGAGACCCCAAGGATCACCCAGAGACCCCTGAGATTACACAGAGACCCCCAGGGATCACCCAGACACCCCCAGGGATCACCCAGAGACCCTCAAGGAACCCCAGGGATCACACAGAGACCCCTGGGATTACACAGAGACCCCCAGGGATCACCCAGAGACCCCCAGGGATCACACAGAGACCCCCAGAGACCCCCAGGGATTACACAGAGACCCCCTGGGATCACACAGAGACCCCCAGGGATTACACAGAGACCCCCGGGATCACACAGAGACCCCTGGGATCACACAGAGACCCCTGGGATTACACAGAGACCCCCAGGGATCACACAGAGACCCCCAGGATCACACAGAGACCCCTGGGATTACAGAGACCCCCAGGGATCACACAGAGACCCCCAGGATCACACAGAGACCCCCCAGGATCACCCAGAGACCCCCAGGGATCACACAGAGATCCCTGGGATCACACAGAGACCCCCAGGGATCACCCAGAGACCCCCAGGGATTACACAGAGACCCCAGGGATCAGACAGAGACCCCCAGAGACCCCCAGGGATCACCCAGAGACCCCCTGGGATTACACAGAGACCCCAGGGATCACCTAGAGACCCCCGGGGATCACACAGAGACCCCCAGGGATCAGACAGAGACCCCCAGGGATCACCCAGAGACCCCTGGGATCACACAGAGACCCCCAGAGACCCCCAGGGATCACCCAGAGACCCCTGGGATTACACAGAGACCCCCAGGAATCACACAGACACCCCCTGGGATTACACAGAGACCCCCAGGGATCACCCAGAGACCCCCAGAGACCCCCAGGGATCACCCAGAGACCCCCAGGGATCACACAGAGACCCCCAGGGATCACACAGAGACCCCCAGGGATCACACAGACACCCTCAGGGATCACACAGAGACCCCCAGGATCACACAGAGACCCCCAGGATCACCCAGACACCCCCAAAGTTGTCCCCACGGCCAGGACTGGGTCACTCCCCGAGCCCTGTCCCCCACCCAGGGCAGGACACGGCTGAAGGATGCTGCAGCAGGATGGGGGGGATGGAGCAGCCATGGCAAATCCCAACTCCCTGAGGCAGGCAGCTATAAATATCCCAGCCTTTCCCAAAAGGGGCCGCAGGTTGAGCTCTTCCGCTCCAGCTTCAAGAGCAGATGGGGGAAAAACAAACAGGGCCGGGTGGGATTTTACCCCAAACTCACTCAGTCCTGCCTGGGTTAGGCAAGGGGGCGTGGAAAGAAGGGTTCACCCCAAAATGAGACTTTCCTCTCATGCCAACAGAGGCACCTCCTTTGAGCAAAAGCACGCAGGGAACTCACCCGCCCACGAAGGGCTGAGCACAGCCCCGTGTCCGCCCCGGGCGAGTCCCCACGCCGGGGAAAGGCTGCCCGGAGCCGCTGGGTGTCCCGGCCCCGCCGCACCGGCAAACAGGAAAAGTTCCTTCCTCTGCCTCTGCCTCTGCCCCTGCCCCTGCGCCGGCGGCGCCGGATGGACCAAAGTCCGGCCCGCACTTCCTGCTCCTGGCGGGGAGGAGCGGGGGCAAACCCCAAAAATGGGGGCTCGGAGCCCATCGGGGCCGCGGGGGCAAACCCCAAAAATGGGGGCTCGGAGCCCATCGGGGCCGCGGGGGCA